GAGGCAGAGCTGGACCGCCCCCTATAACACACCCCTTAAGTCTCTCATAGACAAAAAAAAAGGCTCCTTTTACGTCCCTAAAATTTCTCTCCCACTGATTCTGTCCTACTGTACCCGTGTACTTTCCTTCATAAATCCTTCATGTCTTTGGAGAACTAATAAATATCTTCTAGAACCTTCTCTCCCTGATACATCCTGCTATGGTTTGAATTTAAAATGTCCTCTGAAAGGCTCGTGCATTAAAGGCTTGGTTGCCAGCTGATGGGCTTTTGAATCGTGAAGATTCTGACTTCACCAGTGAATTAATCCATTGATGGAGGCAACATTTAATACCATTATTGGGATATGGTGGAAACCAGGAAGTGCCGGGCATGCCCGGGAGGGGTGTGTTATATCATCTCTCTCTCTCTCTCTCTCTCTCTCTCTCTCTCTGCTCAACATGAGGTGAGTCGCTTTCCTCTGCCATGCATCTTTCTCTCTCTCTCTCTCTCTCTCTCTCTCTCTCTGCTCAACATGAGGTGAGTCGCTTTCCTCTGCCATGCCTAGAAGCAATGGAGTCAGCTGACCATTGACTGACACTTCTAAAACTATGAGCACAAATAAATCTTTCTTCCCTTAAGTTATTTATCTCAGGTGTTTTGCCACAGCAATGAAAAGGAAATCAACATACATCCTGAGATTTCTCTAGGGATCCCTTTTTTTTTTTGTAAGTTAAGGTGAAATTCACATCACAAAATCAACCAATTCAGAGTACTGACAATGTCGTACGACCACTCCTCTGTCTGGTTCCAGAAAATTCTTGTCATTTCTAAAGGAAACCCAGTAGCCATTAAGGGGTCACTCTTCAGTTCCTCCTACCACCAGCCCATGACAACCACCAACTTGTTTTATGGATTTGTCTACTCTGGACATTTCATACAAATAAAATTGCAATCTATACTTTTCATGACTGGCTTATCTCACTTAGCATAATGGTTTTGAGGTCCATCCACACGGTGTCACGTGTCAGAATGTCATTCCTTTTGTGTGTGTGTGGCAGGGAGGATAGAACCTGGAGCCTCATACATGCTAGAACTGAGCCACACCTCCAAGCCCTTTTTGTTTGTTTGTTTGGACACAGGGCCTCATACTTGCTAGGCAGGCACTCTACCAGTTGAGCTACAGCCCCAGCCCACCTCCAGCCCTTTTAATCAGGACTTTTCTTAACCAGCCCTCCACCACCCAAGCCACTGTCTGTGTGTCTCCCTGCTTAAGGCACCTGCTGTCCCTCCCATCCTGCTGTGGCTTGGCTGGTCCCCCTCTAAGGTGGAAGTAAATGGTCATCTCTCTGAAGGACTCTCCTGTCCTGAACAGCTCTCCCTCCTTTTGCTCCCTGCTTATCACACTCTATAGTTAGTGCTTCTGGTTTGCTGCCTCTCCCACCACACATAGATTCCATAAGGTCAGGAAACAGCCTACCCTACCCGCCATGGCACCCTCATGACCACACATTCCAGGCCCTTAGTACCTGTTGACTGAAAGAACGAATAATCTTGTGGAGCCCTTTTAGCCACCATCCCTTCCACCACCTCACATTTCTCTAGACCCTCCGCAGGACTCCATCTGACTGTCAGAACCTGACACTGGACCGTGAGCCTGTACAGAGGAGGGACTGAGGAGACGACTGGGAGAAAACAATGTTGGATCACAGAAAACAGACAAAAAGCAGGTCAGAACCCCAGAACCCAAGATCCCAAGAGAGGAGGGCGGGCAGCAGGAGCGGGGGCTTTCTACTGGATGAGGCCCTGGTGCTGGCCCTGTCCAGGGGTCAGAAGACCCTGGCTGCCCAAAGCTGTCCCCAGGGCCAAGGTTGATGAAACAGATTCATCAGAAATTCAAGGCTCCATCTCTTCCCTAGTCCTCACCTTCAGGAGTCGACCAACTCGAAAGGAGCCTTCTAGAAAGGGAGAGTCCTGCAGAAATGAACCGCCCGATTCATGATGGCGCCATAGTCCCCGCTTATCTCTCCCCTGTACAACTTCCATGGGCACAGAGGGGACCTGGTGTCCAGCATGAAAACAACATGAGTAGCTGCCCAGCCTAAAGCATCAAGGGCCCCTACCTTGACCCTGGCCTGTTCCTGAGCTGCAGCTGAGGTGCCACAGAGGGACCCCTTAAAAACTGCACTCAGGGGCTCTTTAATGGGAACAAGGAGCCCAGGAACAGGCTGGCAAATCAGGCCTAGGGAGCCAGGAAAAGTGGGAGGGTTGGGGCTGAAAGGAGATTCCATTCGTCTGAAGTCACTCAGGCCCCTTTCTCACCTGTGGTCTGGCCCCCTCCTACAGACTGCAGACTGAATGAATGGCTGACCTGTCAACCCCAGGTCACACGGAGACCAGGCCTTCCGTCAAAGCAGCCCTCCTCCTGGGGCAAAGCAACTCACAGAGCAGTACCCCAGGGGCTCAGCTTCCCTTTCCCTCTCTTGGCTCTGAACTGCACAAGCCTCCCTTGGGAGCCTGGGGGAGGAGAAAGCCAGGGATCTCCTCCCCTGATCATACAGTCCTACCTGCTCTGACCACAGGACGCTGGCCTAACCCAGACCCAGTGGCTTTAGGCCTGCCTCCAAACAGAAGCAGGGGTCAGCAGGTCTAGCCCTCTCCCTACCAAGGCGAACAGTGTGTGTCTTGGATGGACAGCAGCCTGGTGATGGCCTTTGCAGAGGTGTGACAATTGAGAGGAGGTATTTTCTGGGTCTCTTCCTCGCAGGAGGCTTCGTGGGAGGAAAGCACTTTTGAGCATTAGGGAAAGTAGATCCTCCCTGACTCCGGCTTGACACGTGGGCACTCAGGCCAGGGTCTGCTCAGGATCCGAGTGTCTGTGGTGTGCAAAGCCACGAATGAGAACATTGACCTTACCCAGTGCCCCTGCTTTCTCATGGGCCCCTAGCCTAGAACAGATGTGGCCAGGAGACGGGCTGGGTGAGGCCCAGAAGGTGGAAGCAGTCCTTCTCCCACTCCCCAGGCTTCTGGATCCATGGCTGTGAAACCCATCCTCTCCCATTCAGTCTCTGACTGAGGGCTAGAGCAGGGGACTCGGGCCTCTTCTCCACTGACTGGAACAGGAACAGGAAGAGAGTAATTGAATCAGCACTTCTCACCCCATCTGGATCATTCCAACATGGGAAACCCATGGAGCAGCTGGGGAAGCAATTTATGGACTTTTATAATTAAAGGGCAATGACTCCCTCAAGAAGCCCCATCCCCACAAAACCCGTTGGACACACCACAAATGCCCACGTGTTCAAAGACACAGCTGAGCAACTTGCACGGAGTGTTGGCCCTGAGGCCATTTCCAGTGGGTGGGGACAAGTAGAACACACCAGTCCACCCTTTTTCCTGTGTCCAAAGTCAGCCCTGTGAGCCCTGGTCCAGGACTGCAAAGCCAAGGCAAGCCAATGCCCTCTGCAGCTCTGCACCCAAGAAAGCTCCAAGAAAGGAAAAATATCACCTTAGTACCTCAGTGGGCCTAGACAAGGAACTCTAGGTGCAGGGAGAGAGCGAGACAGCACTAGCAGCTCAACTGCCCAGCTCAAGGACATCTCTGCCTCCATCTGCACTCTCTGCAGGGAAAGGCACTTCACATAGAGGGAACAGCATGGTGAGGTCTGAGAGGTCGGAAGGAACATGACAGGCGGAAGACGTTGGCAGAGGCCAGAGTGGCAGGAGCATGGGACAGAGGGGAGCTGGCAGGATGGGATGAGGTGAGCCACAGAGGCCCTTAACAGCCGCAGGCAGGCATCTGGTCTTCATCCTAGAAGCAATGGGGGTGGGGGCTGGGGATTGGAGCATTTAAAAATAATGGATTCTGCCTTATTCTGAAGACCCACCCCTAGCTGCAAGTCCCAGAACTCACTGTAGGACAGCAGAAGAGGGGCTGGACAATGATGTGGACCCTGGCACTGTCCAGACATGACAAGGGTGTGTCCAGGGAGAGAGAGGTGTGCATGGACTGGACTGGGAACCGGGCCAGAGGTTGTCCTGCCTTCCTCTCTCATCCCCAGTGCAGGAGATGAGAATTGAGCCACAGAGCCCAGCAGCATTCTGGAGTGGACTCTGTCCCTTCCTCGCCTGGTTATTGTAAGCCAGGCCAGCCCTTCCCTCATCATGGCATAGGAATAAGTGAAGGAGGAAGCTTTGCATTCATCTCAACCACATCTGGGCCCACATCTGCCCACCACGTGGCCACTGCGGTTACTTAGTGGATGTGGGGAAGGGACCTCAAAACCAGTCCTCAGCCCTGCTGCTGGCCTGGCCTGGGGTAATGGAACCTGGAGAGAGTGACATCCCTGAGGGCAGCTCCAGACAGGCAGGTCCACCAGGCCCAGAAACTAACAGCTTCTCCCATTCAGCCTCTTCTCAGCCCACTGTCATTAACTGACCCCATGTCCACACCACTGATTGGGTCAAGACAGAGACCACAGTAACTGGTAGGCCATTCGCTTCCAATGGACCTTGATAGCTAGGGAAGGGCAGGGGCTGACAAGCTACCCACTACCCTCGGATCCTTGCTCACTGTCTGGGCCTGGATCCCAGGAGGAAGTAGCCTCAAGTGACTCAGAGGGAGAAAAGCCACATCAGGGCCACTGAGATCCAAGGAGCGACCTGAGTGCAGAGGCCCCGTGACAGGCCTGAGCCTTAAGCAGTCTCAGAGGTCAGTGTCAGAGCAGGTGGTGGGCATCTGGCAGTAACCACATGGCCAAGAAAGGACAAGAGCTATTACAGTTGGCCAGATCCAGTTTTATTCCACCCCACCACTCAAGAACCGACCTGGAGCCTCAGTTTTCTCACAAGGAGGACCCTGCTTAGCCTCCCAGGAGTGAGAAGAGAGGCTGTGGGCAATCCCAGATTCACCAGGGCAAAGCCGTGTGTCCCTTGAAGCCTCTATGAGCCTCACATGCTCAACTGTGACATGTGACCAACCCCACTGCCCATCTCTGAGGGCATGTAAGAAACAGGTTTAGGAAGATACAAGCCCACTAGAGTCAGGTGGTACAATGTGCATGTCCACCCTCAGCCTCAAGGTCAAGTGGAAGAATACAGATCCAGATTTTATTTCTTAAATATTCTCTCTACCCAGCCCGTGTAGGCGGCCTGCTCTAGGCCAGGTGGGCAGACATAAATTAAGGTCACTAAGGGTTCAGGGAAGGGCTGGATGGACTTTCTCAGTCCCAGCCGAAGTCCTGGCCAGTCATCTGGTAGAACTTGAGGTTGAAAGGTCTGTAGAAGTCCTGCAGGCGCTGGACCACAGCCTTAGGCACTCGAGGATGGGGCCGGCCCTTGGATTTACCCAGGCAGCGGGGGCGGCTGCTTTCTGGAGCCTTCTTGAGGCACGGGAAGCCCTTCGTGGTGTTGAAGTAGAAGTGCTTGTCGGTGACAACCCGTTTGAGGCCCAGGAAGTCCTGCACGCGCCCCACCTCCCCAGCGGGGTCGCTGACCAGGCGCTCGCCACTGACAAACAGGAAGCGGGACAGGGGGAAGTAGTGTAGCCAGTTGCCCAGGTGCTGGGCATACAGGCCGATGCGCACAGCACTCCACGCGGTGTCCACAGGGCCCAAGCCGTGACGGAAGGCCAGGGCACGGAAGCTGGGCAGACCCGGGGTCTTAGACAGCGTCTGTGCGTAGTCAGAAATGGCCCGGGTCACCGGGTTCCGCACCACCACAATAAGCTTGGTGTCTGGGGACATGCTGTGGATACGTCGAGGGACCTCCCGTGTCACGAAGTAGCTGGGTGTCTTCTCCATGGTGATCTGCCCGTCCAGGGTGCGTGGCATCAGGCTTCTGCAGGATAATGGGAAGAACAACGTGAGCGTGTGCTGATCACGGAGATCTCGTCTACTTCCTTGTCACGACCCTTCCCATGCTAGACTGGCCTCCAGGGACCTAGGACTAACCCCTTGTCCTCAGGCCAAAGTGAGCCAGCCTTCCTCCCCTGCAGACCCACCCTTCTAAATTGCCGGGGGGCCCTGGGACATGGCCTGTGAGGGTGGCCACCTGCCAGGCTACTCCTATTCTTGCTGCTCTGGGGAAATCAAGGTATCGGTCCCTGGGAGTGGGAGCAGCCAAGGCACTCTTCACTGACCCCCTTGCCCAAGTGCCAGCTCTGAGTGCTGACCATTGCCTACCAGACCCACCCTCTCCAGAGCTGCTGCACCCCAATCTTATTGTTGCTCTCTCACCCCAGATGAAGTACCTCTGAGGTCACCCAATGTGGACCTGTCACCCTCAGGCCTCTGCACTGTAATCGGTGACCCTGAATTAGGTCATCAATAATTATTGACAAGTCTCACTGACAAAGAGTGGGCCTCTTTCCCCCTCCCTCTCTTTAATTTAATTACATCCCTCTCCCTGCCTTCAATTGCAGTCCTGGTAATTCCCATCTACCTTGGCCCAATTCAGAATGCCAAAGAGCCACCCACAGAGTCAGCACATGAGAGAAAATTAGTGACAGTGACTGTGATCTGCCTAGGAACCTGTCCTAAGGCCCTGTGCCACTGGGGCCTTCTCAACCCTGCAGGGGCTTCCAGGGTGCCAGACCCAGAACACAGCATTTCTGAGATTTCTCTCATTCTGAGGAAGCTGCTGCCCCAATCCAAGGCTCTAAGGGAGTCAGCTGACCCCTGTCTGCCCCAAATTGGGGAAACTCATTCTGAGTACCCAGACCAGGCAGGCCCAGGCACCCTGAGTGGTGTCCCCAGTCAGCACCTGCCAGCCAGGTAGCACATGGTGAGGTGGAACAGAACAAGGCAGGGCAGGTCAGCTGAGCAAACAGCTCCAAGGTAGGGCTGGGAACTAGGTCAACAGAGGCAGAGGCTGTGAGGCTATGCTAGGGAAGGGACATCTCTGCCCAGCTCAACCTCCCATTCTCTGAGAGGCCACTACCAGCCCCAGCTGAATCCCCAGAATCAGCCCCAGCCAGGCTGACATACAGGGCCAATACTGGTTTCAGCCAGCTTCACTGACCCACAGACTCTCATGTCTTCTCTCTTCTCAGAACCACCCCTCCCCCTGCAGGAAAGGCAGGCCAGGCCAGACACAAGTGCAAGATGCCATGCTGGTGGTGGGACAGAAAGACGTGTGCCTGTGTTCCATCAGGCAGGAGTGAAACCCAAAGCCAGGTGTGGTGATACCAACCTGTGATCCCAGCACTCAAGAGGCTGAGGCTGAGGCTTGAGAGTTCAAGGCAAGCCTGGGCTATTTAGTGAGACCCTGTCTCAAAAAAAAGAGACCCAGAAGTGCCAGGCTCCAGACACTACCCATAGCCACAGCAGAGCTGGATGGGTAACATGGGAGGGAGCCTCCTCACTCTTCAAAACAAAGATTGGCACAGAGTTGGTTTATAGAAGTCACAGGGGACAAGTCTGCTTCTTCCATCTCGGTGCCAGAACCTCCCTCCACTCCACCCACTGCCCCCACTTAATAGGCAGGCATGCTGAGGCTCAGAGAAGGAGGAGGAAGGACTGAGGGGGGATGCTGGCCCTCAGCCTTCCTCCTGGCCCACCTGGTGGAGAGATGACCATGTGACTTCTTCTCCCAGAGCCTCTGTCCCCAACACCCTGCCTTGTGTAGCTGGGGACAGCACCCCGCTGTCCCCAGGGGAAGTTCAAAGAGACCTCATAGCATAGCACCAAGATCTGAGGTCCAGGACTGCAGCCAGGCATCGACAGTTCACAGGCCCCCTTTTCCCAGAGAGAAATCGTAAGAAAGGGAGTCTTCCCCACTGGATCTTGCTGCTGAGACCTACAGAGGACACCCATGCTGACACAGGTAGACGCAAGAAGTCATAGCCCGTCTCTCCAACCCCCTTCCGGGGAAGAAGGAGCCCCAGGGCTCCTAGACCCCTCCCCTCCCATCTTTGATAGACATGCACACCTGCACCAAGTGGCCCAGGAGCTTAGCCTTTTTTCCTTCTTAGACTGGATACCTGGTTCTGAATGTCATGTGCTCCCCTTCCTCCCACCAGAAGCTGGAATGCTAGCACCCTCCCCACCATGCTTTCTAGCCAAGGAAGCCAGAGGAGCAGAGAGCTTGGAAAGAGAGGTACCTCCCAGAACTCCTGCTGAGGAACAGGGTGGGAACACAGAAGGGGCAGGAGGACTTTCTGGGCTTACTCTTGCCACAAGCCAGCTCTGAGATCTGAGATCTTTGGGATCAATTACTTGCCCTCCCCAGGCCTCAGAAACCTGTCCCAGCCAGGTATAAAGAGTGGAGACAGATGGGCTCTTTGGGGGGAGGGGGAGAGGATGAGCAGAGCAGAATTCTGACCCTGCATGGCAAACATCTGACAAGTTGTTCCCTGGCCCCTCCCTCCCTGCTGAGCCCACCCATCTGGTCTGCATTTCCCTGCGGCTTCCAGCCAGCCCTGGGCCACTCCCCATCTCTGTCTCAGCACTCCAGTGCCCCCACCTCTGTGTCCCCCACCTCTGTGTCCCACACCTCGCCTGGGCCCAGTTCAGCAGAGCCTGAGACCCAAGGGAAAATGGTTCTTTCTTATCCCAGTGCCAGAAAGTGCTGGCGAGATCATGTCCCTGGCCACAGGAGGGGGTACGAGTATATGTCACAGAAACCCAGGTCCTCCTACACACTCATACGCTCCTCTGCATTCGCTGCTCTTGCACCCCAGGAACTAAGGGGGTTCCCATACCTGTGCTGATAACACCTGTTGAAGAAGTGGGGCTCCTCACCTCCTCTTGCTATGCCAGAGTATTACGGTCAAAATACAGCCCCCACTGTCTGCGGACAGGCACCCCTCCTAAAATGGAGACCCTAGGTTATCTGTGTGACCCCCGTACCTGGCAAACAGTGCGTCCTCAGTGATTTGTGAGTGAGTGACCAGATGCCATCTGAGTTTGGGAGTGCTCGGTCTCCATGGTCTCTGAGATGGCAGACCCTCAAGAGCCTGAGCGAAGAGCTAACAGAGGCCCATGGAAGGGCAAGGGTTGAGCCGAGGGTCACCAGAGCCACCTGCCCCAGGCCAGCTAATAACCAGGTCACTGCCTGAATGAGGGACAGCCCAGTGGGAGCAGTGTCCCAGAAACCCAACTGGAGGACTGGCTGCTGTTCCTCCACTTTACCTCCCAACCTATACCCGGACAGGGCACAGGCACTGGGGGCTCAACCCAGGGCCTGCAGCTGGAACACAGAGGCTCAGGGCACACTCGTGACCAGCTGAAAGACAAGCATCAGAGGCTTGGGTCCCGGGGAGCACAGCAGACTCTTGTGACCATGGACCCTGTGAGGACACCAGGACACTTGCAGTCCATTAGTTCAGCAAGAGCACTCAGCTCACTCTTCACCAATGAAGGATCAGCACTGTCCCAAGGAACAGCCCTGGATTAACGGAAAAGCTTCACAAATTCTCTACACATAGACCACGACCCCCCTCCACTGCCCAATGGAGGTGGAAAGTAAAAAAATCTCTTCTCACCAGGATTACAGTGCTGGAAACACTCCCCACTCCTCTTCTAGGCATGTTGGTGCCTCCAAGAGCCTCTCCCAAGGGCTGAGGATCTGACCCTCCAGACTGAGCCTCGCCCCAGCTGCCTCTCAGGACCTTCACCCCCCTCAGAGCCTTTAACCTGAGCCAGGCAAGTGGCCAGATGGGGCCTGGACTGGTCTGAGGATGCTGTCTGTCTCCTAAGAACCTTTCAGCACCAGCCTAGCCTGTGGAGAGCCCCTCCTAGGAGCGTTAACTATCCCCGATCTCGTTATGGTCAGCGTTCACAGGTCCCGAGGTATGCTCTGAAGTTCCTGCTGGGTAAAGGCTGTGTGCTTGACCATGGGTCTCTCCTCCATCCTACCCCACAGCCCCTCCCTCCTTCTGGAGTGGGCCCTGCAGTCTGAGAATGCCCCAAGATCCGTTCACCTTCCCTCACCATATCCCTCTTCTCTGGCACCCAGGCGGCACCAACCTTTCCAAGCTAAGGAGTCAGCTCCCCCTGTTCTCCCTCCAGGCCCCAGTCACCTTAATGCAAAAGGCAAAGTTAACAAATCAGAGTGGGGGTAGATCTGGGAACAGAGAAACTGGTTCACCTAGAGGTCCTGCCACCCCCACTAATTCTCCAGGTGTCCTTGGTTTGAACAGTCTTAGGGAGGAGGCAAGCTGTCTCTAAACCCTCATTCCCCACATGGAGGTTTAGGGCGTTGTCAGGGTAGGCACTGGAGGCAGGGACTCCCTCCAATCACCAGGACAGGCTGCTTCAGCTGGTGTGTTTGCTCCCCACATTCCACTGCCACACCCCAAGTCTATCCTGGGTGGTGGGCCATGCAGCTTCAGAGACTGGCAGATCACAATCCCACCCTTGAGACCAACTGAATAGCAGCACCGTCCTTTCCAGCACCAGGACCTAACTTTTTCCAGACTCCAATGACCAAGATGGGCTCCCTTGCTCAGGGTAGGGTTGGGGGTCTTGACATGGGAGGACACTTTCTAGAGTCCCCTTCCTAAGGTAACTGGCCAGCGGTCCGATGATTAGTCATAGGTGCTCGGGTGATGGTGGGGAGAGGAAGGCACGATTGAGCTGGAAGCTTTTCTAATGCTCCTGCTGGCTTAAAACTACTTACCACCGCCCCTCCAGCCCCCCAATCTGGCTGAGTCCTCTCAGCAGATTCCAACAGGCCCTTCTCCAGAGTTTTCAATTTCCTGAGACCCCTGGCCAGGTACCACCTTTCCATGGTGGGAGGTGGGGGGTGCGTTAATCAAGCCTAAGCCCCCAACAGGTTGGTCTCAGCCCCAATGCCCACGACTCTCCCACTCTGTGAGACTCCAGGATGCAGAACGCCCACCCAGGGAAGGCAGCGGGTTGGGCGCGCCTGGACCAAGCCGACGGGGCGGACGAGCAGGGGGCGCTCACCGGTACCAGCCGAGGCCACGCTCGTAACACCTGTCGAAGAAGTGGGGCTCGGAGCCAAGCGCGCGGATGTCGGGGTGCAGCCGCAGGAACTCGAGCAGGGCGCGCGTGCCGCCCTTTTTCACGCCCACGATCAGTGCCTGCGGGAAGCGCCGGCGGCCCGGGCCGCTGGCCACCGGCAGGCTGGGCGCTCTCGGGAGGCGGACTGGACGGGGCGGCTCCGTGGGCGCGGGGGCCGGCGCCGGGGCGCGGGCGGCCGGTGGGCAGCGGCCAGGGAGGGCGCAAAGGCAATAGACGCCAAGCACCAGCGCCACGAGCGCCAGCGACGCGCGGGGCGCCCGCAGTGCGGCCCCCTGCCCGGCCCCCGCGCCCTGGCCGTCCCCGGCCCCGCCGCCCAGGCCGCCGCTACCTGCCATGGGGTCGCGCCGCGCCCAGGCCCGGGAGCGGGGGCCGCAGGCGGGCGCGCATCCCGGCCCGGGCCGCGCTCAGCCCGCGGGGACCCGGCTTCTGCTCTGAGCCCAGCCGCCCAGCAGACTGGGAGCGGGCATGAGGCGGGGCCGGGGGCGGGGCCTGGACGCCCCTCCCCCCCGGGTTTGGGCCGGGTCTGGGACACGCAGACATCCAACGACACCTGGCGCGACCCAGAGCCGCCAGGGCCACCCGGACGCGCCCGGACTGGACTCCGGCTCGCTCGGCTCCAGCGTCTTCACTTCTGTACCTGGGGTGGAGGTGTAAGGGCGGGATGCGGTGGCAGGGAAGGACGCTAGGAAGTGACAGACCTGCGCGGGGATGGGGCTGGGGTTGGGGACGTTGTGGGGGAGAGTGGAATGGAGGGCTCCTACACACCCTTAGAAGGCTTCCACCTCTCAGGGACGAAGGGTGGCAGGTTCGTGGGCCAACCCTGACCTCCAGGTGTGGGAGCTTTGGGCCAAGAGAATCTAACACACGCGTGGACCCTGGGGCCTGCACACAATGGGAGGATGAGTCTAAGGCCGGCAGCCTAATGCAAAAAAAGAGCGCGGGCCCCAAACGAAGGAGAGTGAGTCTATGGTGGGGAGAGCACTTTGCACTCCCAGTTGTAAGCCTAGACATCCAGCAGGGTCGGAGCCCTGCCGTCCAGGGAGGGCTGGTCAGGTCTAGCTCCCGTTTTAAAGTTGGAGGGACAGGCTCAGGGAATACAGGTGTTCTTCCCAGGTATCCAGCTGAATTCACACCTGAGCCTCCAGAACCTTTCTACCCCTTATGGGTCACTTGGCCCAGCCTGGCCTCCCCTAGGGTGTCTGTGACCCCTCTGGGAAGTTGGCAAAGCGGCTCCCCCTGAAGCTGTGAAGGGTTCTGGTAAACTTGGGCTGAGGGGAGGAGGAGGGCTCCTCTGAAAGCAAAGCGATTCTGGGCCTCTCAAGGTGTGGGACCTGGGGAACCTGTGCCAGGTGAACCCAGATTCACTAAACCCCAGCACTGCCCCCAAGGAAGGAGGAGGTAGCAATCGAGGCTCCAGGAGAGCGAGTATCTTGTCCTGTCCCACGGTGAAGGTAGAACTGGTCCCAGGTCTTCTCTTGGTCCTGCCCCAAACTTCCTCACAGTTGGTGTCCCCACCCCAGGCCAGCCTCTCTCCAGCTGACTAAAGGCCTGTGTCCTAGGTTTTGCTTGTTAATGAGCCGATCCTAGGCCTAATGGCACCTGAACAAGTCTCAGCAGCCTGGCTGCTTCTGAGGGATAGAAGACCTCCATAACCTGAAGAAGTTTCCAGAGCACCCACTCAGGGGCAGCCCTGGCCACAGAGGGTCACACAGGGCCAATGGAGTGAAGACCACTCCATTGGAATGGGCCCCCAATTCAGGTCCCAGATGCCAGGGCTGCACTTGCTTGTCAGGGCAAGCCTCTGCCAGCAGCCCTGTGGGCGGGTTGTTGGCACAGCAGTGTCTGGGAAGCATGCTGGCACACGTAGGGTCCCAGGAAGTCCTTCTTCTGATCTAGCTTAAAATGGATTTGTTCCAGACAGGCTGGTTCTCCTCAAAGCCCTCCTGGGGAGGGCTGCACCCCGCCTTGCAGCACACTCAGAACTCCAAATTCCACATTTCCTGGTGATTCTTCATCTTCTGGACCCAGTACTGGCCAGTCATTTCCACCTCCTGGTCTTGCTTCTGCCTTTCCCCCAGCGGGATGCCTTTTCTTCATCTGCTGAGGGTGAAGACTGTCTGGGAGGCATTAGCCAGAAACAGCCAGTCTTTGGGCACAGGAAGAATGGAGGTCCAGACACCAAGAGTCTGCTGAAGAGCCTGGAAACTGATCCCCTCCATCCACCTTCTGTCTGGCTGTCCAGTGGGGAGTGGGTACAAATGTGGAAACACCCAGATTGGCAGTCTTGGGGCTATTTGTTCACCAAGGTATCCCCAGTACCTAATGCAGAGCCTGGCATCCAGCAGGCCCTCAATAAATGCCAGTCAGTGGGAGGGTATGACTGGGAAAGAGGTCAGGGAAAGCTTTCTGGAAAAAGAGAACAAGATCCCATGCAAAAGCCCAGCGCTGGTGGCTCATACTTGCAATTCTAGCTACTCAGGAGGCAGATATCAGGAGGATCATGGTTCAAAGCCAGCCCCAGACAAATAGTTCACAAAACTCTATCTTGAAAACACCCACAACAATATAAAGGGCTGGAGGAGTGACTCAAGCAATAAGAGTGCCAGCTTGGCAAGTGTGAGGCCCGCAGTTCAAACTCTAGTGCTGCCAAAAAAAAAAAAAAAAAAAAAAAATCCCAGGCAAAGAGCGGGTTAAACGGGTAAAGGCTCCCCAGCAAAGTGCACCTGGAAGGGGGTTGGGGAGAACAGAAAGGGGGTGGTTCAATCAGATCTCCCACAGGGGTAGGGGTTCAGATTCCCAGCCTAACGATGACCATGACACCTTCCTGTAGCCATGTGGCTACCTCTGAGTTTCCATTCCTTCTTTGTAGAATGGAGCGAGCCCTCAACCCTGACTATTGAGTTTTTTGGTAACAGCTTTATTGAGGTGCAAGCCACGTGTGCACAGTTCAGTCACTTAAAACTAGAACTCAGGGCTAGTGGAGTGGCTCAAGTAGTAGAATACCTGCCTAGAAAGCCCAAGGTCTTGAGTTCAAACCCCAGTACTCCTCCCCCCCAAAAAAAGCTAAAACTCAGTATATTCACAATGTTGATCCATCTTTGCCACAATCAGTTTTAGAACATTTTCATCACCCTGGAAAGAATGTCCACAGCATTCGCAGTCACTCCCTGTTCTCCCCTCCCCCAAAGCCCCTGCTGACCACCAATGTGCTGTCTCCCTCTACAGATGACCCTGTACCTGTCCTCTAATGGCTGGCTTCTCTCAGTGAGCACCATGTTTCCAGGTTCAGCCATGTTGTTGTATGTCAGGGCTTCATTCCTTTTTTGTGTCTGAATACTGTTCCTTGGTATGGATGGACTACATTTCATTTATCCCTTTATCTGTTGAAGAACATGTGGACTATTTCCACTTTTTGGTTGAGGAATGGTGCTGCTATGAACATTCATGTAACAAAGTTTTATGTGGATGTGTTTTAATTTCTTTTGAATGTATGCCGAGGAGTGGAATTCCTAGATCTTATGGGAACTCTGTGCTTAACCCTTGAGGAAGAGACTTTGGTTGTTGGGTTGTTTCTGTTTTGTCTTTTTCCTGTGCTAGGGATTGAACCCAGGACCTCCCACATGCTAGGCAAGTGCTTTACTACTTGAGCCACTCCCCCAGCACTCTTGTTTGTATTTTGGTTCTGAGAAAGGGTCTGGATATGTTTGTCCTCCTGAAACTCAAGAACCTCCTGCCTCTGCCTCCAGAGTAGCTGGGATTACAGGTGTGCTCCATCACATCCAGCTGGGAAGTCTTTTGGAAGTTAAAATTGGTGATTTCAGAAACTTCTATGTGCTCCTCACGCACACATGCAGGGTTACCTACCTACTTCCTCTCCAGGACTTTTGAGTGTCTCTGTCAGTCTCTGTCCCAGCCCCAGCACCCTGCTGCCTTCTTCCTGTAGGACCTAAGGACAATGGACAATGGATCCCCCTCTGAACCACACAGCCCTGGGAGGATTGCTCTTCTGCTCTGTCTGGTTGTTTCTTTCTTTGTCCTCAGCACCCTGCATCTTTAAGGGTCCCACATGAACTGAGCTTGACTGGAACCCCTATCAAGGTGGATCTGTTCACCCTCCTTAGCCTGGCCCTCAGACACAGAGCCAGCATGCAGGGAGTCTGGCTTGGTGTGGTGGCTGGAAGGAGAAAAGACCAGGCTGTTCCACTATTTAGGATCTGGGTCAGTAAACACGTGCCTGAGGGAGCTGAAGGAGGAGGGCAAAGCAGGCACAGACAAGCAGGGATGTTTAGGAAGGGAGTCCTGGAAAGCGAGGTCACAGTGGGAGGGAGGCCTAGCCTGGTCTTACAGATCCATGGAGATGCCTGTGTCCCCTTCACTAACTTTTTTTTTTGGCAGTACTAGGGTTTAAACGCAGGGCTTTGCATTGCTAAGCAGGTGCTCTACCACTTTTTTACTATGTTGGGAATCCAACCATATCCTTACACTCTGCCACTAAGCTATACCCTCAGCCCTTTTTTTTTTTTTTTACCCCAGCCCTCTTTGTGGGTGATGTTGATCCCCATCTGTCTCTACCTAGCCATGTGACAAGTCAGTCGATCCCTTCAATGGCACATTACCTAAACTTGGTGAGAACTCAGGAATGTTTGTTGTGTGACTGAGTGACGATGTGTGTGTGAGTCTGTCTACCTGAGTCTGGGCATGTCCCCCTCACCCTTCTTTGCCTCTTTCCAGTCTGTCCCCTCCCCAGGGCAGGCACCCCCACCCTGGTCCCCACAGCGGCAGAGCCAGTGTGCAAGTGGCTGCCCTCCACCAGAAAGTGATTAATGACACTGTGGAGTTCCTCCCTTGGTGGGGGACAGCTGGGGGAATTCACACATGCAGAAGCTCCAGAAATTCCCTCCCTTAGAACCACACCCTTCACCCCTAGACCCCTCCCTGTAGCCTGCCAAACACTGAAGCCTGCAAGGAGAGTTGAGGGGAGGGGCTGTGGCCCAAGGGCAGGCCCAGCTGTCCTTGATTTGTGTGGGGTTTTTCCACTTCGGATGCTGGATTTGCCCGAACACATACAGGTGTACTTCTGTCCCGGGGAAAGGCCTGCACTGACCACCCCACCCCCTGAGCCCACTGTGCCCAATTCACCATGGTGGGGAAGGAGGCTAGGCTGGACAACAGTCCATGGCTGGGAGCCAGGCAATGCTAACAGAATAAAGGGTTTGTAGGGCCCTTCTCTGCCCCCTCCCAGCAGGTGACCTGGGCAGGGATCCAGCCCCCCTTGACCCTCCCTTTTCTATTTTATTAAAGATGATACCAGCCCCTATTTCTCTGAGTGCTGGGC